ATACTCGGTCTGGTAGAAGATTTTTACATATTGTTGTTGAGTTGAAGTTATTACAAATACTTTGAAGAAAGTTTTGCCATAATTAAGGGATGTCTTGATGTGACACACTACATAAATTTAATGTATGGCCGAATATTTCATATCTCATACAAGCCATATGCTCCTAATTGCATGCCTTTTTGAGGCTCGGAATTTCTACATATGCACATGTATAATTATTAATGATGTCATTGTTGTCATTAGATGTTGTCTGCACAAAGTTTTGTATAGCAAATGTAAATACGCTACAAGTAGATAGAAAGCTCAAGGCTGAATTATCGAATTTGCCATACTAATTTTATAATCTAATTATTAAACCAGGCAAATCTTAGCAAATATATTTGAATTAATAAAGATTAAAGCAAGATATATTTTGTTTTATCACAGTTTATACATAATTTACCACCGTCTAGGTATGCTTATGATATCTCCATAGTATGTTGATACAATTTTCCTTTTTACTAGTTGGAACTAAATTCAAACTTAATTATGCACAGCTGTATTAAAGTGTATATTTGTTTTATTCATGCTTACCCATTTCAACATAAGAAACTAGTTCGAGCTAAGTACATTTAATTTTAATGATTAATTGCCGAATACTGGAACTGAAAAAAAACGGAGACCGCCCATCAATCAATTGGTCAATTGAAAACGATCACCTAAATTAATGCCAGTTTGTGCCCCTCCAGGATTCTCTATATTTGAGCTATTGAGAGTATTAGTGAGAAAATTTAAAACTAGAATCCAAGTAGAAATTTTAAAATTCTTTATTTATCTCTGTCAAAGTTAATTTATAAATTTTGGTCAATTCATAATTCACATTCACTTCATTATGGGGACGTCCACCAAACATATAGGGTAGAAATTGACAGTTTAATTTGTCTGATTCTCTAGAATTTTGGTCCGTCGGTTTTTGGCAATCACTAAATCCTTTTAACAGCTTTTATTTACGAAATGCTCGATCGGCTAGAAAAATGAATAACTGGTGATTATATATTATTATTTCAGTTTTTGCAATGATTGTATTATTTTTAGGCTTTTACTTACTTGACTTTTTATTTAATTATATTTTGATACGGACCTTAAACAGTAAAAACCTCTCTGCCTAGAAGAATTTAGTATTTATACTAAGGATTTAATGTAAAAGCTTGGCAATAATCTAAAGTAAGTTATCTATAAATGATGATGGAATGCATTTTTTACATGTCCCCATATTTTTGGATTAGGGAAGTAAGGTTCATGAAATATCAGCCTATATTTATATAATGTCTTGCAAACAGGAAGCGAAATGTTTTCCAATTCAAGTTGGTGCAGTATTTAAGTTAGAATCTAATAATATAAGTAATTATGTCCATGAAAGGATCCTGACGAATTATATCTAAAACAGAAGAAAGCGATGCTATTCAAAAATTTAGGAAATATCAGAGGAGACAATGGCAAAAGAATTGAATTTAAAAAAATTTTGGGAAATCTACTAATGGAAGCATTAGTGGATCTTTATCCAACTTGATTAGTCCTTACTTCTCTCAAACAATATTTTCATCTCTATGAGGCCGATCTTGCTATGAAGTTGATTGGGCTCTGTGGATCATTGCTACTTGAGCGATTTAGCCGAGTGCCAATATAAAAGTGAAGATTCCTTTTCAATTCATCCCTGGAATTTCATATATAACACTTTGTATTTCCAAGACAACCCATGGTTACCATCTAGCTTTACTTATGCGAGAGCGAAAACAGGGGTGACATGGAAGGAAACATCTTTTCATGGATTTACCCAACTTAAGAACAGAGCGAAATTTGAGAGGCAACCAACTTTTTACAAAACTCTGCTCACATTCGACATTTGATTTCTAAGATACCAAAAACTATTTCGATCACTCATTAAACTGGTTGTCACTAGTACACTTATTTAGTATTATATATTTGTCCACGTAACGAGCCGTAATAAACAGACTTGGCTCTCTTTAGTGGTACGTGAAACAATGAAAGATTTGCTTATAAACCTAACCATCCTGAGCTAACTAGCATGTCTTATAGTGTCCTAGAGAGTTAAAAAAATTTAAAATTCTTCATTGTGATTGAGTTTAATTGCTAAAGAGCACATAGCCAGCACTTGAGTCTCAGCACACCAGTTTAACTCGTATTTTATAGCTACTTTTTGACATATTATATATAATACTATATGAAATTGAGGTTTAAGATCCCGCAGTTTATAACTATCATTGACATACTCAAGCAAGCTATCAATAATACAATAAAGATACATGCTACCATCTGTATGGATTCGCCCTAACGACTGTATATAACTCCAAATTTATGGTGATATATTTAGTTCAGTCAGCTAATTCGAACTAACTTAATGTGGGAACGTCTTTTTGATGTTTACTTTAAAATAAATATTGCCGAATCTGTTTATACATTAAAAACATGCTAAAAATAGTAATTTTTATTACCTAATTTAATTCCGGTTTTATTCTTTCACATGTTCGTTGTAAAATCATGTTCGTTAAATCATGTTCGTTGTAAAATTATTTTTTTAACCATTAATATGGTCATTTCTGAGTCTATCTCTATCATGAGGCTTTAGCTATTCATATTAAATGCATTTTGCTTTAACTTGAACAGTACAGCCACAAGATTCTTACAATAGCTTATTGGACATGGGGAAAGTTTTATAGGCAAAACGGATTTTAATATGCTTGTAGAAGATCCAAATTGCCAATTTGGCTAGGGGCACTGAAGTGTTGAACACTGATCATTAACTAGCACAACTCCGACTCTATCTTCACACTTTTCTCATATTATTTGATTTCCCCAGTAAGTAGTGTGCAATAGATTAGAGCAGATTCGCCTTTATAAAGCTGTTTTATTACCATTTTATGCATCGTTTTAGGTACTCTCCGGTCGGTATCTTCTTTTTGATAGTAGGAAAAGTGCTGGATATCGATGATCTGAAAGAAACAGCTACGTCTCTCGGTCTCTACATGATGACAGTGGTAATTGGTCTGGCGATACACGCTCTTGGAACATTGGCCCTGGCTTACTTTTTGCTGACAAGAAAGAATCCTTTCCTATTTTACAAGGGTGTATTTCAGGTTGGCAGATGAAGTTATTATATATATATATTTTTTAATGCTATTCGCTATTCTGATATAGAACGCATAATTGTCGTGCATCTTATCAAATCTAGACACCGAGTCAATATAAATTTATTTCAGATTTGTGAAGTAAAATTTATTCGGTGTTTATTAGATTTTTGGCAAGCTCTAATGGCAATTCAACTTAATGGAAGAAATGGCAAGATGGACTTGCCAGTAATTTTATCTCAGTGGCTAATAAAAAATCATCTTGCTGCAATTTGAAATAAATTCGAAAGGAAAATTTTCTACATATTGTTTGAAATAATTTGAGATGTGAAAAAAACGACTAAATTCTCTTAAGTTGAATTATACATATCAGATACGCCCCTGCTACGGAGTATTTTAGTTACTTGGACACTGATATTTCAGCTTTTGAGATATATATTAAGCTCAAAACTAATTTAAGTGAAAGGTTTAGGTTAGTTATAGGAGTTAAAACAAAAAAGGTCTTGTATTTTTAGTAAGAATTAAAATCAAAATTACAAATTGTGTGAACAGCAAATGCTAATGCCTTTAATTTAACCAAATAAAAAGTACTTTTATAGCAGAGTAAACGTATCGTGAATGAGTAGGTACTCTGAAAATTTTGTCTCCATAGAAGAACTATCAGAAAAGCAAAAATCTAGAATACTACTACAGTTGATAGCATTGTTTTTATCTTCCTTAATAATTTTCAACTAAGCTGATTGTAAATGTCATGACTCATGGACCTTAACTATAATTCCAAATTGAAGATGTGAAGACCAAGATGTTGTGGCCTCGGGTATGGTG